GTTATTTTGTGTTTTTTGGTTTTTGTTATTGCCTTGGGATGCAAAGCCTGGATGTGGTGCTCCCAGTTTCAGATCAGCAGTGCTGTGGCTGGCTTGTGCAGAGCAGATTCCCTGGCATGCAGTCATTCTACCAGCACAGATTTGCTAAGAACAGATGATRCCTGAGGTCAGTGAGCTGTCACACATTTGAGCAATTCTTGTGCGTCCTGCTGGTGGACAGGCTCCATGTTGGGTGCTGTGAGTAACTTGGTAGAGGTGGGATCCTGCTGTGAAGCTGCCCTCCTCATTGACAGGTCAGTGCCCAGATCCAGCAGTAGCAAATGTGCTGCCAAACTCTGTGACAACTGAACTCTTKGATTCAGACCTTTAAAGCCTCCCAGAAATAAGGGACATGCAGATGTCTTACAGCTGTCTTCCCACAACCATCATTTCCATTTCTTTGGCTTCACACCAGCCTGGCTGAGAYCTGACCATGAGCTTCTCAGTGCTGTCACAAAGACTCTCCTGACAGGCACAGCTCCCAGAGCTGTGTGAGAGCCCACACTGGTGGCTTGCTGGTGGGCAGCATTGTGGGGCTGAGATTTATTTCTTCCAGCAGTTCAGAAGGGTTTCAATTCCTCTGCTTTCTTGCATCACTGACGCTGGCTGTGTTATTGGGCTCTTTCTGTCTTTTCTGTGTTTGATACACGCTGCACATATTGTCCCTGACTGCTGGGATGGTGCGTGCTGGGGCCTGCCCACCACCACTTAAAACACTGAGTGCATCAGGGGAGGAGATCCTCMGAGTTACGGGAAGACTGGATCTGGCTGCATTTCCTGGTGGCATCACCTTTGGCAGCAGGATGTTTTCTGAAAGCTGATTCAGCCCTGCTGAGGGTCTGGGAGCTCASTGGTGGGTGAGCCATGGGGCAGCTTTGGGGTGGTACATATGCACCCCACATAACCACTGGGGGAGTTATTCCAAAGGGAATGAATGAGTGCCAAAGGAGTCCTTGGGTTGACTCACCCAGTACTGGGGAGTTGTTGGTAGGAAGTTTGTGGGTTCCTGTGTATGGTCCTTGGGCACACCTCACTGATAAATCGTTCCAGTGAACTTGATGCTGCGTCAGAGAAGGGATAGAAGCAATGGAATCTCTTGAAGTTTGTTCCAGCCCAGCATTTCTCTGACAAAGGGTGACTGTGTTTTGCCTCTGTTTAATTTATATCCATGTTTGCCATGGATTAATTTATATCCAATTTGCCTTTTTAATTTATATCCATGTTTGGTCTTCGAGTGTCATGGCTTTTCTCATCACCCTCACTTTGGTGACTCTTTCTTGTGTCCCATTCTTGCAGGCTTCCAGATAATGTCACCTTTGAAGAAGGAGCCCTTATTGAGCCCCTCTCGGTGGGAATCCATGCCTGCAAAAGAGCAGAAGTCACTCTGGGAAGCAAAGTCTTTGTGTCTGGCTCTGGTACAATGATCATAGTCTGTCCCTGGGTTCCCTGCCTCCTGGGAGGRGATGGGCAAGCTCAGGCTCTGCTTCTGGGCTCAGCTGTAAGGGTGGGTCATGGCAGAGCCCACGGAGGTACCGAGGGGGACCTTGGGGCTGCTGGAGCCTCCTTTGGCCGGGAACACGCTGAGCTCAGGGCATGTTCAGAGGTGGGGCTGATGCTGCCTGGCAGTGGTGCATGTTCTCTTTCTCCTCTTTGTACACAGGACCAATCGGCCTCGTTAATGTRATTGTTGCCAAGATGATGGGTGCAGCAGCCGTGGTAGTTACAGGTAAGTCCATTAGCCCTTTCAGAATGTGCCTTTCCCACCATACAGAATCACAGAATCATTAMAGTTGAACAAAACCTCTTAGAGTCCAACCATTAACCCAGCCCTGCCAAGCCCAGCCATGTCCATAAGTGCCACATCCAAACATTTTTTGAACAGTTCCAGGGATGGTGATTTCAACACTTCCCTGGATAGCCTGTTCCAGTATCTGACCATCCTTTCARGGAACAAATCTTTCCCTAATATCCAACCAGAGCCTCCCCTGACACAGTTTGAGGCCATTTCCTCTCACCCTATCCCTGTTCCCTGGAAGCGGAGCCTGACCCCCACCTGGCTGCCCCCTCCTGTCAGGGACTTGTGGAGAGTGAGAAGGTTCCCCCTGAGTTTCCTTTTCTCCAGCTGAGCCCCCCAAGCTCCCTCAGCCACTCCTGGTTGTCCAGACCCTTCCCCAGCTCTGTTCCCTTCTCTGGGCATGCTCCARCACTTCGACTAGTTCCAAATTATTCCTTCAAGGTAACTGCTGAGGAAGGCAGCCCAGGCACAATGGAAACTCTCGTTGTGACTGGAATAGTAGCAAGTGCCTGTCTGGAGGGAATGCTATCAAACATCTCATTGCTTGGACTTTAATCTCTGCCCTAATTAGGAACTCTGAGAAGATGCAGTTACAGCTTCTCTCAGGGTTAGCAGACTGGCCTTATAGCCTTTGCTGCCCAGCACAGACAGGTTGTGTGGATGGAATAGYTACAGTGCTTCAAGGAGAGCAATTCAGAATAAAGAGGCTAATGAGTTGTCTGTGGATCAGGCCTGAAGACCTAATTCAGACTTGGAGCAGGTATTTTGGGAAGAGACAATGTATCTTTATGTCAGCTCTGAATTTCAGAAATTCTGCTTGCTCCTGGTGCCTATGATTGCTGGCTGTTTTATTTTTTTTTCCATAATTTTGGGCTCTTAATTTTGTGTTTTACCTTTAGCTCATAGATCAAGTCTTGAGAATCAGGATTTGTCTTCCCTGTAGTGCTTAAATCTTAGGCCTTGATTATATCCACTTCTAGTGCTCCTCTATACCAGGCAACAGAGTGTATTTTATACCCGTTTGGGACTATTCTTGGAGGTTTGATCTTAGCAGGATATTTCATCCTCTGATAGTGCTGAGTGATGGCCTGGACAGTGTTTGCACACTGTTTGTTGTGTGCAGCCACACTGTGCTTCTCCACTTGTCTTTCTCTGTCCTTCTCTCTGCTCATGCTGGGGCTTTCATTTTCCACTGGTTATCCACAGTGACTGAAATGGCCTTTCTAGGGTTCCTTGCATTTCAGAAATGGACCTTCCATGCATAACTGTATCCTGGATGTTTCTAGTCCAGCTGCTCTTTGCAGGAACGTTTTTGTCCAGCTGTGTCTGGAAAACCTCTGAGGAAGGCAATCCCACTYTCCTATATACCTTCTCCAGGTTTGCACCTCTTAATGATGAAGCTTTTTCAAGGGTCCACCCACAAACAGTAATTTGTGGAGATTTCCCCTTGAGACAAGAACTGATATGAGTCTTCATCACCTTTGCAGCTGCTCCTCAGGTTGTTGAGATGGCCATTCCATGCCCACCTTCTTTTGCCACCCTGACCTAGCTCCCTCCACCTCTCCTCTGAAGTTCAGACTTTTCCTCTCTGTAGCTTGCCCCGAAGGATGGAGAGCTGGAGTAACCTCAGGATGTTCTCTGGTTGAAATGTCCACCTGGGGGTTGAACAGGGTCTGGAAGTGATGCTTGCAGCTCCCACTACGACTCTTTGACCTTTCTGAGTGGTGATGGCCAGCAGGAGCAGTTGGACGTGCCACTGGACATTTAGCACAGATTACTGCAGTGTTTTTATGTCACAAGGATGTGGAACTTTCAGAAGGCTGATAGTCACCTACCATACTTTGAGCCAAGTGTATTTTTGACCTTTCTATTACTGTGTTTCCATCTTTGGGTTGAGATATAAAATTTGAGTYCCACCCTCTTGCCTTTACGGAAACATCCTTCAATAGTAACTCGGGTCAAAACTCAAGGCACATTATTGCCTTCTCCTCCCTTAATTCTTTTGTTGCCAAGTCSAGGGCATTTTTAGCTCTGCTGGCCTCACCCTACAGGTGTGTGTGCTTGATGGATGTGATCAGTCCACACCTCAGATTTTGTGTTGTCATTTGAGGATGATGTTTGCTGTAGCAGGAAAAACAGCTCTGCCTCCTGAATCACACACGAGAAACCTGGTGCCCAGCTGGGTTGGGGCAGGGGCTGGGGGTGACCCACTCTGCCTGCRTGGGGAAAGCTTGGTGAGCTGGCAGGGGTTGCTGGACTGAGGCAGCTGGCTTAGCCTGCCCCCCATTCTCACTCCAGTCTGGCTGTATTTTCCCATGGCACCAGGAGCTGCTGCTGCTGGGGACCTTGGGCCGGCTGATCTGGGTGTCACATGCCACAGGAGGTTCCTGGTGCTTGGTTTCTATCAGCAGGCTTGGATACATGGAATTACCCATTCTTATCTTCATGTGCTGGCCTGGGTACTGATTCTGACTCGTAGATGTCTTCCACAGAAGAGGGATTTGGCTGAGGTGCTCAGAGACACCCATGAAGGTGCTGTCCCAWGTTAAATATTTGTGTGTGACATGAGCTGAGGAATGGGTTTGGTTTGGCTCCTTGCCACTGGGGATTTTGCTGCCCTTCTCAGGGAATTGCTTTTTGTTTTGGCTTTAGGAGCCAACACCTGTGAGGCRCCTGTCTGCCCACAGAGGCCCTCTTGTATTTTGCTACCAGATTATTTGAATTCATTGCCCTGAATTTTAATCGTATATTTGTCTGTGAGGAGCTTTGTGCAGCACTTACGGCGTTAAATGTTTGTGTTTGTTTTGACTGCTCACAGATATAGAATTATTTAGAAAAGCTTTTTCATGAGAACTTACCTCCTACAGCTTCTGTCTTTGGCTCACCTGGAGTATTTGATGGATTCAGTGGACTCCAGTTGTGTGAGATCMATTTATTTCATGGGTCCTCATCTACTCTTCTCAACGGTGTGTGTCTTCCTCCACTCCACTCCTGAGGGGGTGTGATTGATATTTATGGGCAACCTTCCCCTGTTCTTCTGCCTTGATGTTACTCTAAAAAGCTGCTTTTCTCCTTAGATACATGTAAAAGGTCAGCTTTCCTCCCCAGTAAGTGAAGGGACAGTTTAGGTATTCATGTTGGGCTCTCTTGCTTTGYTCTATCACTAAAGGTGAACTCAGTAATTCCTACTTAAGGGAAATTATTCCCCTTGTTCTATTTGAATTTGAAGTTCTGGGTATTGATGCCTCCAGAAATCCTGGAATTCAGTGTCAGGGGAGAGGATTAATTGTAGAGAGTTCAACTCCTTTGAGAGAGAAGATCAACACAGAAAATCTGAGAATAAGCAAGAGTATTTATTTTTTCTGTTAAATTRGTTCATAAACCATCATGAGAAGCTTAAGGGTAATTTGATAACTTCATTGGAAGCAGAGACAGGGCTATTCTTATGCTGGCAGCCAAAACTTTAATTATCTCCAGTGGCCAGGAAGTGAAAACAAATTTCTGACTAGAGGCAAGATGCAAGCCTTTAATTGTATAATTGACCCAAGCACTGTGTGGGGTTCAGACATAGTGCAGACTGAAGTCCAAATGACTTTAAAGACTCCCAAGTGTCTGGAGCTCTGAACAATCAATCCAGTGACCTGCAGATGTGTCTGCTTCAGTAAGAGCTTMATGGAGATTTGTGTGTATTTAGATGTTATTGCAGCCCTGGCCTGACAGTGTTGCTGCTGCATTCCATGCACTGCTCTGAGCCAGGGCTTCCTTCCCAAGCAGCTCAGCAAACCAGAGGCCAGCTGCAGGAATGGTGTGAGGTCTTTTGCTGCCTGAGAGTGGTTTTTGTGGCCACTTTGAAATGCACTACCTGCCCTGTCACTCTAGSACACTGCCTGTGGATTATTTCTGCCAGAGAGACAGTATAAAATGTGTTAAATATGTAAAATATAAGATAGGATTTGTATAATATTTTATATATTTATACATATTATCCATATATGATATAAATTTATAACTTAAAATGTATTAGTGATTGAGCAGATGCTAAAAATGGCAGAATCCAGCTGTGCCTSCTGTGAGCTGGTTTGGTTGTGAGACCAAACTTCTCAGGGAGTTTAGTCATTGCTGAGACCACTGCTGAACCCCTGTGGTCTCCTTACCATGCACTGAGATTTGGGAGACACTAACCATGCTGGGCAGAAGTGTTTCACAGCATTTCAAGTGCCTCAAAAAGCCCCTGGCTGTGCTCTTGGTGCACAGCAGGTCTCTGAGTGGAGCTCAGCTCGGGTCAAGCACGACCCCACACATGGGCTGGAGCCCAGTGCCCAGAGCTTGGGAGGGACAGATGTGACTCCTGCAGCCACAGGAAAGAGCCCATGCTGGGGCTCCCAGGGTGATGYTGCCCTTTCTTTTCAGCCTTGGCTTTTCCTCTTCTGTCTGTATTTTATTACCCTTTGTTGCTCCTTCTTGAACTGCCCTCCACAGCTCTCCTGGGTGCTCAACTCAGTGGGTGTGCCCACACTTGGCATCCTGAGCTTTCCATGCCTGTGGGAGCTTGTCCACCATCTACCTGGCTGGTGAGTGCCCATTTGCCCCCTGCCCTGTCAGTGAGTGCCCATCTGCCCCCTGCCCTGTCAGTGAGTGCCCATTTGCCCCCTGCCCTGTCAGTGAGTGCCCATCTGCCCCCTGCTCTGTCAGTGAGTGCCCGTCTGCCCCCTGCCCTGCCAGTGGGTGTCATCATTTTTGCTGTGGGATCTGCAGGTAGAGCCTCTGGCCTGGCTCGCTCCCAGGACTGCAGCTGAGTCAGAGCAGCTCATGTTGGAGAACTGGCCTTACCTTCTTCCTCTTTCCCTTGAGATTTTCACCCCACCCCATCTCTGACTTTTCTGAACACTGTGCCCTGGTGAGAGGGTTGTTTTCCTCTTTGCTGTGTATGCCTCTAGCAAAGACATTGTTTTCTGAGACTTCAAGCCCAGGGGCTCTGGGAGGAGACCACCCYTCAATTTTGGGTCTAAGAAATCTTGGCTGTTACATCTTTTCCAGTGCCAGCATGCAGACCCCACAAGACCACTGCTTTAGTGTAGGGAAAAGAGGTGATTTCTTCCTGGGAAATGCCACTCTTCTCCTCAGCTGTCCACGTCCTTATCTCGCGAAATTGTTTGGTCACCAGTGGTGCCTGGAGAGGGATAGGYGGCTTTCTTCCAGGGAATGTGGAAGAGAAAAGACAGTGCAGCCACCCAGCAGAGCAGCTTGCTCCATGGTGCAAACCATCCTGTAGATCTTTGGGACATATTACAGCCTTGAGAAGATCCCTCAGGACAGAGGACAGGRGGACACCCATGCCCTCACAGATGTTTATCATTACCAGCTTTGTTGCTCTGCATTAATGGGCTGTCTCAGGTCCACCCTATTACCAGATCCACTTCCTTTTTTCTTTATGGGCTTGCCTGCTCATTCATCTGTGACAGAAACTGTCTGAGAGATGCTCAGCAGATTCCAGAGCTGCTACAAGGAGRGTAAAAAAGAGCAGGACAGGTCTGTGACTTAGCAGGGACATGCTAAGTGTTGACAACTAATGCATTCTGCAGTTTGCTCAGCTGAAAGCACCTCCTGAGGGCTCCTTGAGGAAGTGCTCAGAGAGCTCATGGTTTGCTCTCATCTGGTATTGTTAGAAGTGACATGACCACATTACTGATCCTCTGAGCCTGTTGTCTCCTGTTGGAAAGATTTCCTGTAGCTCTCCACACTCAGGTGGTTTCTGGGTAATCAAGGTGCAGGGTCAAAGCAACCTTGGTCCTGTATTGTGCCCTTTGAGAGGTGTCTTGACGGTGCAAGTAAATAATGTGGAGAGCCATGGAGGGAAAATACAAGAGTGGTGGGGTTTTACCTCACTGTAGACTCTTCCTAGGCTCACTCACAGAGTGCAATGGGGTTTCTTACAGTCCATTCTCACGAGAGGATGAAGGGCCTGTGAGAATTAATGAGGCTGCTTCATCAAAGAGTCATTGCCCATTGACTTGGTTTTCTTTCCACAGATTTATCTGCCTCTCGCCTGCAAAAAGCCAAGGAGGTGGGGGCAGATTTCACCATTCAGGTGAAGAATGAGACCCCGCAGGAGGTGGCTTCCAAAGTGGAAAGTGTGCTTGGCTGCATGCCTGAGATAACTGTGGAGTGCACTGGAGTGCAAGCCTGTATCCAGGCTGGAATTTATGTGAGTACCTCCTGTTTCCAAGGCTGGACCAGTGATGGTGTTGGTGTTTTTTTCTGGAATGCTGCAGTGAACAAGCTATTTCACTTCCCCAGTGCTTAATTTCAATAGGTTTGGTGTGAGGAGAGAAGGTGCTTGTCAGACAGTAAATGAAGAGAGAAAATTAAAAGTGTTAACATCAGCATGGGGATAATTGATAATTGATTGGTTGCTTAACCACTTACCAAACAGACCCTMGTAAGACCCTGAAACCCAGGGAGTAGGACAGCATCTTCCACTGAAGTTATATCCAAATAAGAAGAATAATCAAGAAAATTAATTCCAGAAGGTGAAAGAAGCAGTTAAGGAAGGGATGTTTTGCTGCCATGAACATCCTAACAGCAGGATGGAGGGAAGGTTCATGTGGAGTTTCATAGTGAAACATGGAAAGGAATGGGACAAACTGCAAAAAGAGAAATTTTAGTAGAGCATCAGGCTTTTAGTTTTAAATGCCTCCCATTGAAATCCTAAAGTACTTTTTGTAGTCCTAAATGCGAGCCATTTTTCAAAATGGGGTTTGGATACCAAAATCCTTCAGAGATTTCCAAAAAGATAGCATTTTTATAGCTTTGATTACCATGTTTTTAACTCATACAGACTCCTGACAGCATCCTGCCTCTCCCTGGCTTCTCTGCTGTGCCCCTGGCAGTCCATTGCAGCCCCCAAGGGTGACTTTATTTTTGACTGACCCTGCAAGGCTCCTGCAAATGTGTTCTGCTATAACTGTGTTGCAAGTGTAACCTGTTGGTGTGTTTTGCTCTCCAGGCCACTCGTTCTGGTGGGACTTTGGTGCTGGTGGGGCTGGGGCCTGAGATGGTGACGGTGCCCATCGTGAACGCTGCTGTGAGGGAGGTGGATATCCGCGGGATATTCCGCTACTGCAACACGTGAGTCTTGGGCAGGAGGGGCTCATGTGTCTCCAGAGTYTCAGAGCTGAACTTTCTTGCTAATGGAGCAAGTATCTTTGCTTAATSTGTAGGGCTTCAGGAAGGATTTATGGGATGTTGTCAAGCTCCTTCTTAAAATGAAAAGTGTTATTAATTGGGCAGTTTGGGAACTACAGCAGCTACTACATCCCTTTGTATCCCCATTGCTCCAACCTGGCCCATTCATGATTGGACTTGATGRTCTTGGAGGTCTTTTCCAACCTCAATGATTCTAAACAGAGTGGCAACACAATCCATTTGAGAGAGTCTGTGCCAGAGAAGAGGCTGGGAGCTGACTGAGTATTTACCTTTTTTCTCCCTGCACCAAGTGGAGTTTGAGCTCCACCATTGTCAGTGTGCAGGAACGGAGGACGGCTGAGAGGAGAGTACAGCACGGGAGTTTTGGTTTTTATTCAGGGCTTCCAAAGTAGTTGTTTCCTGTGATGTTCACTTGCCTCTCATGATTTCACTTGCTTTCCCAATTGTCTGTTTAGCAGTGTCTGCCTTCTCAGTGCTCAACAGCCCAGGGCAGCTGACATGTCCCATCTCCCATTCCAGTCACTSGGGGTTCCCTCCCCGGAAGATTCTTTGCAGGCAAAACTTGTCTGGGATAAGGAAATAACTGTGATGATCCAGACTGCTCCATACTTTTTCCTCGGACTCCAGACCAGTGGCTGCTCTCATACCCTGCTCTCTGCTTTCCTTGCAGGTGGCCAGTGGCCATTGCTCTGCTGGCCTCCAAAAGGATCAATGTCAAGCCCTTGGTTACRCACCGCTTCCCCCTGGAGAAGGCTCTGGAGGCCTTTGAGACCACCAAGAGGGGCGAGGGGGTCAAAGTCATGCTGAAGTGTGACCCCACTGATCAGAGCCCCTGAGCTGTCCCAGTGCCCAGCCCTCATCCCTGCTGCTTGTAACTAGAAAATCACATGTAATGAGGGTGAATGGCACTGGAACACAGCATTAGAGCATTAACAGGAAACTACAAATGGACAGCCAATAGTTTGAATCAAAATGCTGGGATAGACATGATGGTTTGCACAGTTGGTGGCTCTTCTCCACAGATCCCACATGCAGGAGAGCCTGGCCAGGTATTTTTGGGCCGAGGAGGGTGTCACCGTTGTGTGGTGCAGCAAAGGTGGAGGTGCTGGCACTCCATCTTCCCACCCTGCATGGCCCTGGCTGCAGCATTTCCTGCATGGCAATCCCTGGATGCCAGATCTCTGTGTGAATATCCCCTTGTGGGTGCTCAGGGACTGTTCAGCCTGTGGAACAAAGCCTGGCCATCCCCCTCCTTGGGAAGCACTGCCACATTCAGGTTATTCTCTCMGTGCTCTTAGCAAAGCTCACAACCTGGGTTTTTTGTGAAACTTGGGGGCCAGCTGGGGGCCACAYCTGCTATGTCACCCCCAACAGCTCCTCCTGGGACCACTACACACAGGGAAACTGGGACTGCTGAGAGCACTGTCCTCRTGTGGCTCCCATGAGGGGGCTGCTTTTGACATGGAGGGGAGCACGGGTGAGACATGAGGGGACGGCTTTGCTCAAAGGTTTTACCACTGTGAACGAATCATAATTATTTGAGAGTATCAAGCCTTCCTGCTGAGTTTGTGAGCCACAAAGAAGGTACTAACAAGGTACCAGGTCATCAAGAAAATCTAATCTTTAATTACAGTCATGTTAATTTTAGTAYGGAGAGATCAGTTCCTTCCTTGGGCTGGTACTCAACTTTCCTCAATAAATGCTGGCTAACTGAGACCTTCGAGATGTGTCCCTTAAAGTGTGGGGTGGTGACTTGGAGGGGTTTGTGGGGGACTGTGTAGTCCTAGGCCTTGCCAGGCTGCAGGCTGAGCTTGTGTTGGCAGGGCTGTGAAACCTCCAACGACCCAACTGCTTGCAAATCAAATCTCATGTTTATTCCAGGCTGGGTCAGGTTAATTCTGGCAGAGATGGAAGGCCCCAAGTCCGTGCTGAATTCTACAGGCATGAGCCATAACCTGGGGAAACTTTCTGTAGCCAGAAGAAGTGGTCAAAATATACACTCAGTGCATTCCTGTGCTGGGAGGAACCCGGTTGGCATTGCTGGGAATTCACTGGCTATCCCGACTCCTGTCCTGTGAGGATCCCCACTGGCATGGCTGAGGGACCAGTCACATCACAAGACTGCTATTGGGAAATGGAAACTTGCTTCCTGGAGTCTTGGCAGGGGATGTTTAGCATCCTCAGGGCTGGAGTTATCCCCACAGCTCAGCCTSGTTGGCTTCTTGTCTGATCTGCTCCCTCAGTAGGTCTTGCGGGGGCATTGACACTGAAGGGACATTTTTGGGGGTGATAGGTCTGGTGGACACTGTCAGTGAAGCTGTGCCTGTAACCCCCCACCCCTGACCACCTGTAGGTCCCCAGGGCAGTGGAAATTCCCTCCAGTCTACCCCATTAACTCCCCGGGGGCTGGAGTGAATGCTCTGTGCCAGGAGCAAGGCCAGCACCATGCCACAGGGATTACAAGTCTCCAGGTAACTGAGAACTAACTAACAGGTGGCAAGAAAGTCTTTTAAAACTTCAATCAGCTTTATTTAAAATGTCAATCAGCTTTATTTAAGCTCAACCACAGCCTGCAAAAGCAGCAGCAATGCAAAGCCAGGCATTACTTAAATAAGCATAACTGATCCCTGATCGAAGGATGGTTGTGCTGCTGGAAGAAGCCAATGAAAACACAATTAAGGCCCCATACAAACCTAGGCAAGGCTTGGAGAGTTAAAAAGCAGGCACTGCAGGGTGTGTGAGGAAAGCTGTTTCAAGAAGAGGGAAGGTGGGGAGCTCTCCAGCTCCTCACCCCATCTGTTCACCACACCAGTCTTGGAACAAAGTGCTGTGAATTCAGGTTGTGCAGGCACCAAGCTGTTCCCCAAAGCTGGTCAGAGACATTCCCTGAGTCCCTCAGCAGAGCACGAGGTCTGTCTTGTGGGATTAAGGTGGCAGAACTGGGCTTAACTCAAACATGGAGGTTAATGGATTGGGACACYCCAGCCTGAGCCTGGGCTGCAGGGATGTGGATGGAAGCAGGATGCCCTGGGCCCTGGGAGGCAATGCTGGGACAGCAAGGCTTTACAGCACACCGCTCCCAGCTCTGCAGGTCTCAGCATCTCTGCTCTTGGCTGTGGATGTCTCTCCCCAGGGGACAGCAGTGGGTGGAAGCCCGGGACCGTGGCCACATGAAGCACTGCTGTCGGGTGCTGGGTTGGAACAATGCAGACTGCAGCCAGAGGGTGGAACAGTGTGGGGTAGGGTCAGAAATTCTCATAGTGATGTGCAAAGTAGGTCTGGTCCTTCTTGTTCATCTGCCGGCAAGCCTGTTCCACGCTCTTGGTCATCCCRGGCGGGCCACAGCTGAACACACCGATCTTCTGCACCTGGGGAACGAGGGGGACAGAGGGGTCAGCTCTCCCCACAGTCCAGCCCCCCTTGAGCCCTTGCCCTCTGACAGCTTTGGGCATGGATACTGGCTGAGCAATCTATCTCAGAGGCTTTTGGGGAGGTTGTCACCTCCCTGTGGAGCTGCCAGGGCCACAGAGAGGAGGGAACCCCTCGGCTCTGGTCAGTGGTTGCAGCCAGGGTCCTGCAATAGCAGGGGGAGTTTGGCTGGTGTAGGGCATTGCTGGTTCCTGCAGCTCAGCCTGGCTCCAGAGAGAAAGCAGGATTCATTCCCCTCCCACCCTGTTCTTGTTGCAAACGCCACTGAGGTCTCCAGGATTYTGGGGACAGGCTGGGACCAGTCCTCCACACTGGCCATCCTCAGGGGGACACTGACCTCAGGGTGCACCTCCTGTAGTGAGCTGAAGAAAGGCACGAAAGGAGGGCGCCCAAAGTGGGTGATGGAGCGCAGCCCTGTGAACAGGCTCTTGTTCAGCACCTTCTGGAAGTGCCGCTCACAGATGTACTGAAAGAGAGATCAGTGCATGTCAGATAGCCYGGCAYGGCCTGGCACGGCACRGCCTGACACGGCATGGCCTGGCATTGTCCCCRCTGTGTGTCCAGGCTCACCAGCATGGTGGTGCGCAGATCGAACTTCTCRGCCAGCTGTGTGATGTAGATATGCACAGAGACCAAGTCGTTCTTGTCGGATTCTTCCACCTCACGGATGATGTCYGTCAGCCACTCAAACTGCCGCTGCGTGCGCGTCACCCAGATGAAGTAGATCTGTGGCACATGGGGATGAGGCTCAGAGCGGGGCCAGAATGCTACACAAGTCCATGGGCTCCATGGAGGATTTTACCCCCAAAGAGGCCAGCAGCAGCAGGAGGCATCTCAGAATCATAGAATTACAGAACCAATTAGGTTGGAAAAGACCTCTGAGATCATTGAGTCTGACCTCTCAGGGGGGYTTGTCTTTCCGATGCTTCCTCTTACCTTCTTACACAGCAGCTTGGAGTTTATGGATGACTTGAAGACCAGGTCCTTGAGAATGGATGCRAAGGGTGTCACCCCAATGCCTCCTCCCACCAGCACCGACACCTCAAACTTGTTCCACTCCTGGTGGCCTTCCCCAAAGGGCCCATCCAGGTAGAGCTGGAAAGGAGCCAGCCGTTAGCAGAAATCTCTGCTTGCCTGGGTCTTGGCCATCCTCAGAGCCRGAGAAGCACCTCAGGCTTGGCACAGCCCATTGCCGAGCTGCTCTTGGGCTCAGATGTGCCCACAGGTGCAGGGCTCACCTTGGGCAGTGCCCCGAGCAGGGCCAGGCTCTCCGGAGAGTAGAGCTCCCGCAGGCGGGTGGTCCAGGGCCCCACGGCGCGGATGTGCAGGCTCAGCGTGTCGTCGTGCGGCGCYGAGGTCAGCGTGAACGGGTGGTACTCGGTGGTGCCCAGGGCTACGCAGGCGATGCGCACCCACTGCCCGGACTTGTAGTCAAAGTCCTGCGGCCGCTGGAACTGCAGGTGTGTGACACCTGCGGGGAAATGTTGAGGGGTTCATGCTCCTGCATCGCTGCAGCTCCTGATGCCCTCACAGGGAGCCTGGGCCGAGCTGRTGCTGTGTGGCCAGGGATGCTCCAGTACCTGAGGGCAGGAGCTCGGCTTTCACCACGCTGATCTCCACCTTCTTCCTGCTCAGGCTGAGCAGCTTGTCCGCGCTGTAGATGAGAGCTGGGATGATGAAGTAGATGTAGAAACGGGGTTGCTGGATCAGCGCATAGCTGCCGTGGATGATGACCTGGGCARGGAGCAGAACCCTTTAGCAAGGCCAGTCATCACCCCAGGATGATTTGGTGTCAGTTCAACAGCAGTGGGGAGCCAGGACTGGGGCCAGCTCTCCCTTGGGATCACCCCAGCTATTCCATCTCATCAGCTACACTGACTGGACCAACAGGCTCGCAATGCATCAGTACCATCCCTCCCTCCCCGCCCAAATCCTTTACCAGGACGTAGAGCAGCACGTAGAGGTGGTGAGTGATCCAAAAACCCTGGAAGCTGACACGTCGGAAGTGGTGGGTGGCAAATACATACATCACAGCCAGAACCACGAGAAGCAGCACTCCCGTCATGCCTGTGAGAGGAAGAGCTGGAAGRCCCTGTGGGGGGAAACAGGGCTGCCCATCCTGGGCACAGCTGTGCAGGTCTGTCTGCTAGGTATTCTCACCTGGAATAGTCTGGAAGAACCACCAGTAATACTTCTGTGGGAGCTGTGATCTGGAGAAGGACAAGAGATTGCACCATGGAGTGACCAGAATGAACTCACTGTTTCYATTTTCATTTCTGTCCATGCCAGGACATTCTGTCTGGACTCTGCTTTGAATTCCACCTACCCATCATTTGTAAAGACGCTGGAGAAGAGGCAGGACAGCACACTGAGAGGTGTGACTGAGAAGATGTAGACGTTCACTAYGTGACCTGCAGTGTGGAGCACTGTAAGGGACAAAAACATGGAGAAAGAAGCATCACTTGATATGGACGGAGATGTGTCAGGCTCTGCAGATGTCCCCAGGGACCTGGAGATTCCTCCTCCTCTGCAGTGCAAAGCATCTACATCTCCACAAGGGCTGTAAGCTTTTGGCTGGTCCTGCCGTGATGTGATGGGCTGATCCTCTGCTCGTGGGTGGCACATCCCTCCAGGGGCCCAGGTACCTGAGAAAATCAGGGCTGCCATGGCAATCCAGCGGTGGAAGTCGACGGCGGCGTCAAAGGGGATGTAGCAATTGAGGAAGGTCTCGCGCAGGACCGTGATGAGGTTGCGGCACATGGTGAGCAAGATGTAAGAGTACATGAAGGAGATGGAGGCAGCCGACCCCCGGGAGATGATGATCCCCACAAAGGTGGTCTGTGCAATTCCAGTGCTGGGCGATGCAAAGGCGTAGTCTGGGGAGAGAGAGCAAAGGGGGTGTCTGTGACCCTTCCTGTGGCAAGGGGACAGACACCTGTGTGGCTCCACCAAAAAGGACAGCAGGGATGGGTTTGTGTGAGGAAAGGGGCACGACGCCCCAGAACCACTGGGTGACTGGAATGTCCAAAGGAGGACAATATCCACCTTYGGACTGTGGACTCAGCTGGGGAATCCAATATAAGAGGTGTCTGTAAACTGGAATGAGTCCAGGGGAGACCACCGGGATGGGTGGGGCTGGAGGATATCATGCAAGGGAAAGGCTGGGGGAAATGAGCTTGCTCAGGCTGTGGGAGATGGGTCAGGGGAACTGGCTAGCTGCAGCCATTTCATGGGTGCACAGAGCAAGTTTTTCTTAGAGATGTCCAGGCAGGATGTGAGGCAAGAGCATGAG